AAAAAAAAAAAAAAAAAAAAAAATCAGTACAAAAAAATTGTGGATATCCTGTCATACTTAATGTAATGCTTAATTTCCCCTACCAGAGGAAGCATAATAAAGACCTCTTGTGACAAATATAAAAGGTGCTGTTTTCAGACTGTGACATTTTTACAACAGTCAGATAACCTTTCGGAGTAGTATGTAGAAACAAAGCTTGCTGTATATTCTGTATTTCTAGTCAGTACCCAAATCCGATACAATACTCTGCTTGGTAAATACCTAACTACATATTAATTAAATGAAAAGGAATTTTAAAAACTTTTTTAAACATAATAACAGACAGAAAAATTCCAAGAGCAGTACAAAAAAAGAAAAAGAAAATCCCATATACCTTCCACCCAGACCCCTCAAATGTGATTATATTGCAGTCACATTTGCTATATCCTTTTCTCTTATCTCCCTCTCTCCACACACATACTGGAGCGCGTGCACACATACACATATATTGTAAATATACATACTCATATTTCCCCAAAACAAGGATATTCTCATAAATAAACACAACACACCTATCAAAACCAGTAAATTAAGAATGATTCAATGCTTCAGACCCTTTTTAAATTTTAGCAATTATTCTAATCATGTTCTTCAAAGAGAAAAGAAAAATCCCGCATACGCATTGCGTCCAGCTGGCACGTCTCCTTAGTCACCCGGAGTCTGGAACAGTTCCTCAGTCTTTGTCTTTCACAACTTTGACATTTTTTTAAAATACAGGGCGGTCACTTTGTAGAATGTCCTTCAGTTTGGGTTTGTCTGATGTTTCCTCTTGATTACATTCAGAATATGCATTTTTTGGCAAGAGTCTCACAGAAGTGGTATTGTTTTTCTCAGTACACATCAAGAGGCACAAAATGCTGATTTGTTCCCTTAATGGTTATGTTAACTTTAAGCATTTGATTAGGAGTCTGCCAGGTTTCTCCACTATTTTTCCCTTATAATTTATAAGGATCTTATGGGGAGGAAAGTAATTTTTCTTTAATTAAAGCAATACTGGCATGAGAGAGATGTTTTTAAACATACAAAATGCAGGAAAATATAAATGAATCAAGACTAATTAACAAAATAACTACATTTAAAAAAATTAGAGTACATTTAAAGCATCGTGTACTTATTTTTTAATCATATGATATATACTATTTTTAATAATGGTCTTAATATTTCTTTTTCTATAGAGACCAAGTCTGGCTGAAAGAAATAAATTTGTGATAAGTGAAAATAAAAACCCAATGAGTCATAACAATCAATGTATGTGAAAATGTTGAATAGAATGTTTACTTTGGAAAGGCTGTAAGATTTACTGAAATGTTTCCAACCAGTGGCTTCCCCATCAATCCCTCTCACAGGCTGTTGCCATCATGTCTAATGAGCCAGTGGACATAGGGGCACGGGTGTACAGGAAGTAAAATTAAAAAACAAAATATGATAAAATAATAAATAAATTAAAAATTAAAATATTAAAAATAATATAAAAAGATTCTGAGTTTTGTGAATCCTTGAAGAAATGGTCAAATGGATGTGAATCTGGAACTGGAGAAAGGCAGAGATGAGAAACAATTCTATAGATTAAATCCTGATAAAGATAAATACTGCCGTCAGAAGGAGTTTCGACACATAGTTGTGGCAGATGCCGGGTGAGGCACATTTTTACCCAGCCTTAACTAAAGATGAAGCACACTATCAATGAGTTGAACTTGGACTCAAAATTGTTTAAAAAGAACACACAGTTGTGAATACAATGACATATTCCTTTATTTTCACATACACTCTAGCTAAAAGAATAAGAGTACACATCAACAAAAAATCGAAATGAGGCTTTGGCTGAAAAACATGCATTTGACAAATCATGTTAATAGCCAGAAAAGAATAAAGTTAGTTTTGTAAACTTCCATTTCATTTGATTCAGACAGAAACACAGCATGAGTTTTAACAGTAACAAGAAAATCGTTTGAAATCTTTTATTGTGGGAAAACATTAACATCTTTCTCAAAGAAAAGTCTTAAAAAGTGACCCAACAGAAAAATCTGGAAAAATCAAGAAGATTAAATGCTGGACCACTTGGAGCAACATTCTTTCAATCATACTTGCAGAATGCTTCTTTGTGTTCCTGGGATGAACAAGATTGTCATGTCTCCAACAACAGTAAACTGATGTTCCTTGGAATAAAAGACAGTCTCTACCTTTAAAAATATACGCCTTCTTTGAGGAAATTCTTATGCCTAATAGCTTTTTTATATTCTGGACAATTAAATGGATTCAGGTCATAAATTATGAAATAGCACTACATGAGGTAAGCAGCCTAAAAGCATTTGTAATGTATGTACACATTCAATATGAAAATCTTTTATTTACATTTTTACCTGGCATTCAATTTTTAAAAATTCAGTCTCTCATGCCATTGTGGTGTTTTTCAAATGATACCTTCAAGTCAATGACTTCTTTCGGCTGCAATAAAGAAGATATGGCAAGAAAAATGCTGCAGTGCCATCTTCTGGAAGGACATTCAAGAAATCCCTTAGTTCTAGTTCCACGGCAACAACTGACAGTGTTTCTGTTTGCAGGAAAGAATATCTGAGTTAGAACTGAAAGTCTGTCTTTCATCCAATTCTCTTATCACTCAACCAATTAGAAGCTAGTGCAGGTAAGATAAGGTTATAACCACAAAAGAAAAAAAAAGTCTCTTAAATCCACAGAACACTTTATGGTTTTACAACTTCTTATTTATTCTTTCTAAAATCCTTTGAAGTTTATTACACATTAGCCCCAAAATTTGGATTTACTATTTCATTGCTGGGTTATTACATTATTTTTTAATTTCTATGACCCTCTAAAGAAAAATACAATCATTTGAGTATTATTTTTCATGTTAGAACTGTCCTGCAGCTCATTTATAAAGATTGTCTGCTAGGATAGGAAATATTATGAATTGTTGGATATCAGTTCCTCTCTATTATGAGATTTTCATGTTATTAATAAGCACAAATCTGTTTTCATGACTATTTACCATTTTTCCCAAGCTGCAACATAATGTGCTCTAGTGAACATTTTAAATGTTAAGGAATTTAGTAAACATTTTTGTAAAGATAACTATGCAATTTTAGGATTCTATTGCTTCTTGATATATACACGCTGCCCTCTGCTGGGAAGAGAAGGTGGTGTTATGTAAGAACAATGTTCCCAAGAAACATACAGAGGGTGCCAAAAAAATGTATGTACATTTTAAGAAAGGAAAAAACTATTAAAACTGTAATACTCAATATATACTGATAACTAAAGATGGCTACAAGTCACGTTTGACTTCTGCAATTACAAGGGGTGCTCAAAGTGGTTACCATCAGCTTCCAGACACTTCTGATTATGGCAAACTACCACTTGAGCAATGCTGATCAAAGTGTCCACTTGTATACATTTTTTTGGCTCCCCGATACTTCAGTGCCACTCCTTGTGTGATGTCGCATGCCCACCACTTACTCAATTTGCTGAGTGACTGAAATATAAAATCTCCTGCTCTGGTGTATGTGCATCCATTGAAAGTCACCTGTCCAATACTCAGCAACCTAATCACCCTTTCTTTACACAAAGGAACGACACATGCTTGTTGCTAAACAGTTAATGAACGGAGCAGTAGTGATGTATGGGAAAGACCACTAGCTCTGGGATCAGATAGATTTGGGCAGGCATCAGGTTTTTCTACCTACTGTCTGGGTGAGTTTAAGAAAGTCACTTGACCTCCTAAGCCCAAGTTTCCTCATCGATAAAGCAGTGGTAACCATCTGCTAGTTTCCAGAGTCCTTTGAGAATTAAAATACAATGATGTATAGCTGACATAAAACAGAACCTTAATAATAACTACTAACTAGTTTCAAAACCCATGTGAAAAGCATGCATTACCAATGCTTTCCTATGCAACCAGTTTATTTAGCCTAAATGTGGAGCTTATACGTAATATCCTAGATACAAAAAAACTGAGCTGGGGGCCAATGCAGAGCAGTTACGGAGCCAACAAAAATCTTGCCACTGCTCAGTTCTCCTCTTCTGCCAACAAGTAAGGGGCTAATACAGATTATAACTCCAAGAACAAGGTCGATTTCTTAAATCCTTACAGCACTTTAAATCCTCCAGCATGCCTACAAAATACTCATCAAATGTTAAAAACAGTTATTTCTGGCTGGTGGGGTTTTAAATGACTTTTTAAACTTTATTTTTGTAATTTACTATGAGAATTTTTAATAATAAGCACAATTATCACAAAAATAACAACAAATAAATATTGCCTTGAAAGAAACAAGCTAACTACTAACCCCAGTTTCAATGGCATTAGTGCAATGGTTCTCAACCAGTATGATTTTGCCCCTCAGGGGACATCTGGTGATGTCTGGAGACATTTTTTTCTTGTTGTTATAACTGGAACAGTGTTACAGGTATTTTGTGGGTAGAGGCCAGGGATACTGTTCAACATCCCAAAATGTACAGGAGATACATACACACATGCGCACGCGCGCACGCACACACACACAAATTATTTGGTCCAAAATGTCAGAAGTGTCAAGGTTGAGAAACACTGCATTAGAGATAAGAAACCCAAGCTCCTAAGCATATTATTTATGTCCTTGACCTTCATCTTCAACCCTACCACCTTGCAATTTTGACTAAGGTTTTACTCTAGAGTTAACCCTGAACTTCTCCTTTGTCCCAGGATATTAAAAAAATGGCTTGTGTCAGGTCACTCAGCCAGTAGCAGACCTGGACTCAGTTCCAATTCTCCAGAATCTAGTCCTGTCTCTTCCTGGTGTACTACAGCTACCGACAGAAAGACCTCCCTTGAAAACGGACCTGAAGTTACGTATTCAGATTCTCCCCTTAGAAGTCAATTAATAGCTACAGAATGCTTTCTATAGAGGCATACTGCTGGTAAGGGGGATGTGGCATGAAAAATGGTTAAAACACTTGACCAGTTCTTGAGGTACCACAGTCTAACAAAGATAACTCACACACAGCACTTAGTCCCATGAGCCACACACATGTGTGTGCACACATAAACATATTTTGAAGATACAGAAAAATGGAACATTTGCAGGAATAACTACGGGTAAGCGAGGGGTAGAGAGTTTGTGGATGTGGAACAGAAAAGGATGAAGAAAGAGTCTTGAGCAAGATAATGGAGTTGCTGAGGTGTGAAGATGTGGGACGTCTGCACTGGAAAGTGACCCACCAACAAAAATGATCAGTTCAAGGTTATGTGATAAACTTGATGCAAGTGGGGCCAGGCAATCAAACCTGACACTTCATACTTCTGAAAACCAAAAAATCACTCGGAGATGGGCAGAACAAAAACTTAGTATAAAGCCACCTCCTCCCAATCATAAATGTCTAACTTTACTTAAATGGGGATCTTCAGAAAAATACCCTCCAACGGCCACTGGCTCTGCCTAACACTTTTTTTTTTATTTACTTTTTATTTTTTTAATTTTTTTTAGCTGAGCCATCCTGCCACCTTTTGACAGCTCAGCGGCTGCTCAGCTTGGGCTGGGACTCGAACCGCTGTTGCGAGCTCTTAACCAACTGAGCCACTTGGCCGGCCCCAGCCTCACACTTTAAAAAGCACTTGCCTCCCCTGGAAAATTCAATTCCAACACTATCAACTTCTAGTATTCTATGCACACTGAATCAATATAACCATACCTTTCGTCATCGGGCCAACAATTAATTAACAAGAGTAGAGAACTTAATAACCATATAACCTCTCAAGATTTACAAATTATTATGAATTATGAAAATTCAAGTAACTACCTATGCTGTAAATACTGCATAATTTAGAGACACTCAACTTTTAAATCCTTGAGAACCTTGTCCTTCCTCAATACTTGCTTATAATTTGATTAATACTGGTAATCATGTTAATTTCCTACATGAAATAAATTAAGCACTGAGATCACTAATAAAAATGTAATCATTTTAATAGCTATTCAAATTTTTTAAATACTGAGGTTATGAATTTCTATGACTGTGATAACTTTTAAAGTGTTTGAAAAGATGAACTTAAAAGCATCAACTCTGTAGCTACAAGAGATAAATATCAAATGTGACGGGGAAGAGCGTATAAATGCTGAAAATAAGCTCCAGGTGGTTCTGCAAAGACCTTCTTCACCTCACTTGATAATCATATGAAAAAACTAGAGAAAGCACGGCTTCAGCAAATTATGGAAACGAAAACAAAGACACAATTATTAATAAATTTATAATCAAGCTAAAATGATCATTTACCTTTTAATGATGACAGGTAAAGTTGGTATTTTTCTCCACCACATTTTATTCTCTGACAAAGTTCAGGCAGCAGTTTTTTCCACCACAAAGTCTATCTTAGGAAAAAATGAATACATTTTAAGTTTGATGCATTTTACATTCAGATTACAAACAAGAATAAGAAGATCATGCAGGGCAAAAATACATCATTTTGGTTAAGGCAGCAAACTTTGTTATAATGGAGGATAAATGAGCAGCCAGTCTTCTGCTTAAACTATAACATAAATGTCGGATTTGTAACTTGAAAAATCTAATAAGTATACTGTACATAAATACATGGCTATTTTCAAGAAGCCACATAGATACATCCTGTATCATCTCTTAGACGGCAGGAAGAAAGAACAAAGAAAGTACTAAAGTCTAAAACTCCAATTTCTAAACTAAAGACCATATATAGCCCAGAAAAATATTTTCCCATCATACATTATGTTCCCCAAATATTCAGGTAATAGGCCACTTCATCTTCAAACAGGATTTTTAATGACAATAACCTACTATCACCATACACTTTAATAGCCTCTAACAGTACTAAAACACATAACAGATTAAAAATACATGCTCATTTGACCCACACAGCCCTGTGAGGTTGGACTGGCATAATTTGTCCCCATTTTGCAGATAGGGTAACAAGATGATCAAATCTGATTATCACTGATCAAGTCTAAAAAAATGTAATCTGAAAAGCGTACCCGATTTTCTTCTTTCAGTTCATGATTGGCATATGGAATGATGGCCTCTGGGCACCTCTCTAGCAGTGTGTCTATACACTGTTCATACTCTTTCAAACGCGTCTGACACAGAACCTGGACACTGAGGCCAGCAACACTGTCTTCTGAGAGTGGCTCCAAGAACGGAACAATGGAAGCTATGTCAAATGAAGGACCACATATAAGAGACTATGAACAGAAAAGTAAAATGTTATGGAATGAGGCACCCAAAAAACTAAAGCACGGCATACAGAATACCATTTTTTAAAAAGACTAAACTTCACTTGCAAAAAATATAAAATAAGAAAAGAATGAAATGTTAGAGCACATGCATATGATATTTAGTATGTCTAAGTGGACTGAAGTATTAAATAATATTTAAACCAACTCTAGTTAAAGAATAACAATCTGTTTAATAGAAAGCAATCATTTGTAAAATAACATGATTTTGTTTGCTTTGGATAGACTGCAAATTAAAACTAATGGGAATGCTTTAGGACTCTATCCTAAGGAAATAATCAATTTTGGGGTCAAAGAGTTATGTCCAATGATGTTCATCCCAAGAGTGCTTATAATACTGAAAAACTAAAAGCAACCTAGATGTTAAACAAAAAAGGTTGAGTAAATAAATTATGGTACATTCATATGATGGAATATTATATAACCATCAATACTGTTTTCAAAGGCTACTTAATGACAAAATGCTCATGATAAAATAACAAGTAAAAAAAAAATCTCAATGCAAAATTATATTCAGAGCATGATCAGTTTTGTAAAAATTACACAGGTACATACACATATAGAAATGCCTTTGGAAGAACACAGAATTTGAAACTCAAATTTTTGAGAGATCAACTCAATAAATGGGAGGACAAAACCTACGTTTTGTTTTCTTTTTCATACTTCCCTGTATTTTCCAAAGTTTCTATAATAACCATGTACTACATATGTAACCAAAAAATAAAACTTAACATTCAAGAAAACTAAAACACTTGTTAAGAACCTAAAAATTTGTATCAATACTATTTGCCACAAGCTGAATAACAGGTATTTCAGTATTCAGAGTTGTAACCAATATTTTACTTTTAAGCATTTAAACTATAAATACAGGTGACCCTTAGCAATGCAGATTTGAACTGCATGGGTCCCCTTATACGAAGATATTTTCAGTTGACCTATGCAGTTCAAACCCGAGTTGCTCAAGGGTCAATAGGCAGTTGGAATCCACATACACTGAAGGCTGACTTAATTTATATGTGGATTTTCCACTGCATGGGCAGTTGGTGCCCCTAACCCCCGCGTCGTTCAAGGGTCAACTTGTACTACTACCAAAATAATCTCTGCTTTTCCTTTCTTCTGGATAAAGATGAGAAGATCATACACTGATTTTCTTCTTCCTGTATCCTTTCTGCTACAGCTTCTCAGGCTCATAGGTGGATATGGAATGTGAACTACCCATTTATAGTGAGCACGATTATTCTATTCCAAATGTCTACCAAGGAACGGCGAGGAGAATAAGGTTGGTCCTTTTCATTCCTGCAAGTCTAATAATCACCTTCATCTGAATCATTTCCGTACAATAAGATAGCAAACATGAAACAAGTTGATAATCTGCCACTCACAGGATCTCCCAACATGGAAAAAATAAATAAACACAGATTATTTCTACATTCAAGATCTTGATTCATCGGGACAATGGGCTGGGCAGGAAGGAGCAAGGCCTGGGTAACCCAAACCAGGGTGAAAATGAAACTAGTCAAAGCTTGGTACACAATGGATTAATTACCCATGAACTTTAACTTAGTTTTGGGCATATCATCAAGAAGTTTACAAATAAGAAACACCAGACAACACATATTACTGAATAAAAAAATGGTTCAAAGGTTACTGCTATTCTTTACAGTATGCTTAATGTTGCCTGCTTCCTAGCAGAGTGCTCCTTTCTGTTTTCTTCAGTATTGGAAATGGTCTCATCTCCACCCCCAGTACGTATACTCTTTACTCCCTTCCCTGATGTAGATCTCTCACACTCAGCTGCCTCTGCAGGGCTGGGATCCAGACTTCTCTGTCTTCTGTACCCATAGCCACAGCTGCAGCTCTAAAGACAGGTGGCTGCCAGGACATGGGGAGGGGGAGGAGAACCATGATGATTTGGGCCAAGGGCAGGGCATTTGCTAGTTACTGTGTCATTTCAAATAGCAGGTTTTTGACATGTAAATGATTTATAGATTGTTTTAATTTTTGCACCAATACACTACCACAGTGTCTGAGGACAAGAGACAGAGACTCACATTAAATCGGCTTGGTGATGGAGGGGCAGAGAGGAGGCATAAAATTTTAAGAAACTCTCCAGGTGATTCTGAACCTCCCTAACCCTCTAAGGGAGGACCAAATGAGATCCTTTTGTTTCTTGAGAGTTATTTTTTCTTAATGACTAAGACTAATTAACCCACAGATAATCTTGAAAGAACTGTATTTAGGAAAATGACTTAGAAAAGTTTAGGCCAACCATATTTCTATTCTTTCACAACAAAGATTCCCAGAAAGAACCTACCCTGTTAAAATTTTTTAAATGAATTTTAAGTTATACTTTTTCAAGCAATGATCACAAATACGCTTTGACGTTTATAAGATGGAATTTAACAGCACTTATTATAATTACGATTTGAAATACGTAATTAGTACATACGAGGTCTGACAAGTTCACAAACTTGTTGCAATGCTTTTGCTAACCTTTTTTGATATCAGAGGGATTCATTATGAATTTGTACCAACTGGACAAACAGTTAACCAAGTGGAAGTGCTGAAAAGGCTGCGTGAAAAAGTTAGACGACCTGAATTGTTTGCCAACAATTCATGGCTCTTGCATCACAATGAGCCAGCTCACACGGCACTGTCTGTGAGGGAGTTTTTAGCCAGTCAACAAATAACTTGTATTAGAATACCCTCCCTAATCACCTGATCTGGCCCCCAGTGACTTCTTTCTTTACCTGACGACAAAGGAAATATTGAGAGGAAGACATTTTGATGACATTCAGGACATCAAGGGTAATATGACGGCAGCTCTGATGGCCACTCCAGAAAAAGTGCCAAAATTGCTTTGAAGGGTGGACTAGGTGCTGGCGTCAGTGCATAGCTTCTCAAGGAGAGTACTTCAAAGGTGATTGTAGCGATATTCAGCAATGAGTTACGTAGCATTTTTTCTAGGATGAGTTCGCAAACTTAATTGTCAGACCTTGTATGTGCCGGGACAGTGAAACCCTGCCTGCACTATCCCATGCTGTACACCACATTTACAACGTGTGCTCGAGGACTAGTTGTGGAATGAACCAATCTGAGGCTCAGTAGCCTCTGTACCTTAAGGGTACTAGAGATAAGAACCAACGACAATCTTCTTTGGTGATTTTAAGAATGTTAAGTAACTCTGTTTCTAGAGACAACACAGGCTTTCCAGGGGCTGTCTAAGCAATATGGTCTATTAGCTTCCCTCTCTGACTCCCAGCCCCAATCTGACATTTTGGTTTCTATAAAGCCACACTTACACCTGTTCCCAGTGAAAATCCAGAGTTGCAAACTCAAAAACCTAATGAGGCCTAAGAGATGGTGAAAATGAATGAAAGCAGTTGGGTGAAAGGAAAATGGATGCCCTACACTCAGTGTCTGGACCAGGATGACATCAGGATGAGAACTGTGGCAGGCAGGGCGGCAGGAGCACGGCCCAAGCAGAGTCGCTTGGCTCCAACCCACGGGTCTCGGGCAGTGAGGGCCCAAGGTTACCAGTTCTGCTGAATTTTTCAAGAGAAACTGGAAACTCAGAATTCTTAATTTGAAATCTCACTTTTTATACGTTGGCAGCTACACTAGGCAGACCAAATAAAATCGATTTGGGGGTTCTAGCTTGTACTTGGGCCACTGAACTACATTAAACAAAATCACATCCACACCTAGCCCAGCCTGGTCCATCAAGTCAAACGTGGACCTCATTTCTCAGTTCCAGTCAAAACACTGACATGGTCAGAATTCTTGCAGGATGATCTACATTCTCTGATCATACTTCTTATTTTTTAAAAAAAAATCCTTTTCAAGAGCCAGATAAAATGGCTACCTTGACCTATTTCCTATAAAACAGACAGCAGTGGTTGGGTTGGGTTAGGTTAGAGGCCAGAAATGTTCGAGTGAACACTAAAAAACCCCTGCATCATATCAATAAAAACAATGCTATACATTCACCATACTTGCACTTCATAACGTGTTTTTTTTTAAGCACATCTGAAAACTGTTTTCAAGGCAAGACAGTCAAGGGACTTGGTGCTGCTCACTCATTTGCTGGTAACGAAGCCAGTCTTCCTGAAAAGCAGTTTCAGGCAGAGACAGCAATTCCATCCAGCACTCCTGAGTATGCCTACCTATGGATTTTGTACCCCCAAATTATACCCTCTAGATTAACACAACACCTGAGGTCTTACCAAATTTATATCCTACATTAAATTGCAATGGGCATATTCATAAGAAAATAACATTTTTATTTACCTGTAATTTGAAGAGATCCTCTGCATAATTTTTGTCAGCTAAGGAATCCGATGATATTAAGATATTAACCCATGGGTAGATTAAGCCATAATGACTACAGGCGTTTATCTAAAATGCAAAAGTAATTTATTATAAACAAAATACAACAAAACAAGAAGCTCTTCATCCATTCCAAAAAGAGCAAGCAATCGCTAATCTTCTGCTACATCATACAATAGAAGTATTTAATTTTCTGGAAATAAGAAGGAAAGTCTTTTAGAATCTATTCCCTGGGAGAAAGTTTTGCCTTGCCGCGTCTCACTGAACAAATCTGCACTAAATATTTCCTAGTATTTTACATTTTAACATATTCCAAGGAGGCACTTTCTAGCAAAAAGAGCAACGGTGTTTTTAAGCTACAAGTGAATGGTAATACTGGAAATCATTTTTATTTCTACTACTTTCCTTGGGAGGCAAAATGTCTTCCATAAATAAATTCTCAAGATAATTCCCATAAAGCCTCCCTTATTCAAGAAGTTGCTGACATTTCCAGTGAACCCACGTTGGCTGTGGCATCCATGAGAGGCAAAGGAGCTGGCAGGGAGGGAGCAGGGAGGGTGAAGGCCGTGGTGAGGGCTGCCCCACGGGCCACAGAACAGCCCTGTGTGTGCGGCTGTCGGGAAGTGGGTTCGGATAACGAAGTCTCTCCCACAAGCCTTCTGCAGGTCCTCGCCCATCAGGGAGGTCTGCAGAGGTCTCTTTTCTAGTGTTCTACTTCATGACCATCCCCTGAGGATGCAGACATGTTCTGGGGAAAGCCCCTTCCCCCATGCTTTGGCTACTGAGGTACCATTGCAAGCAAGTACTACAGGAGCAGGAGGGGTGTTCCTCAGAATATCCAATTATTTAAAATGTGGGCAACTCATGGACAAGTTTCAAGTGTATTTTTAACTCCTGCTTTAAAAAGGTATCTGGTAGTATAAATTAGGTTTGACTCAAAGCCATTAAAAATAAGAAGGCACATTATTGTAATGTGTAAGTACAAGTTTAATTTAGTGTATTATTCCATTGTCTTA